TTATTTAAGTGAACAAATTATTTACCTCGTTATTTTTAAGGAAAACTTTTAGCGCTCTAATTTTTTAATTTTTTTTTTTTTTTTGGTACATTTTTACGTTTACGATGCTTTATGGAAAATATAAAGAAATTAAAAAATAAGACTGTTAATAGTGAGATTAAATTTCATAAGAAAAAGGTATCTAATTAATTTATAGGTACCTTTCTTGTGAAATTTTATCAGAAGTGTACATAAAATACTATAATTTTATGTACATTTATTACACTTTACTGTGTTATTTGTATTTCCATTCATTCTATTATTAATTTTGATATTTCATTTATGGAAAAATGTCATAACTGAGATGAAATTGTATTCTGGTTGGTCTTCCGTACTTGATAATTAGTGCCCGACTGTATACACAAAAGTTACATGAATTAATTACTTCTGCAAATCTGATTGGTCCAAATGAAAAAAATTTCAATGCGCTAGACAATGACAATCTCACACGGAGATTTTGAAAGGTTGATGGTGCTTTTAACTAAAGTTAAAATATTTTTAAAAATTCAATGAAAAAATTAAAAAAAATCTTTTTAAAATTAAAGAAATAAGAAATAATTGTATTAAAAATTCAGTTTTCATTGAAAAAAATTTTTGCTTTCAGAAAATATTGTCCATATTCATACGAACAAATAAAAACAAATAAAAGCATTTGAAATTAAATAGTATATTTGTTTTTATTGAGTTTTGTATGTTACAATTCAGAGCTGATTTTCAGGTACGGGGGCAAAATTAAAAAAAAAAAAAAAACATGATTTACATTCTTCAAAGCCTTGTGCTTTAACTATTGTAATCACTAAAAACCGATGGTCTCGAATTTCTAGAGTTTTTCATAAAATTAGATATGGGGGTGTTAATAAATATAAAAAAAAATATTTCTGCCATGACTTTAATAAAAAAAAAACATATTTATAATAATTTCGATCATCTGTGAATAGTTTCTGAAAGATTCATTAACATCTGACAATTATTTTTATTTTTGCAAGATTTTCCAAATTAATGTGTGTAAATACAAAAAAAAACGCGCTAAAAATTATCTGTTATTTACTACTCCATGTTGCAACAAAGAGAAACAAGGTTTTTTAAATCAAAATTTAGAATATTCTAAAAAGATGGAAAAATTTTTTTTAAAAATTTGGTCTATCCTCTTCATAAAAACATAAGCATTTTGACGATAAAATGTTGTTTTCATAAACTTTGGCGTCTTTTTCAACAGACTATGCTCTATTTTTTAGTGATGCCGTGGAGAGACTTACGACTTACACTATCTTTATAACCTTTTTGTTTAATATATCTTTCTTACCTCTAATCCGTGTTCCGTGTTTTCCTTCCGTGGTCCCAACTTTGGGTCCATATCAGCGAGCAAGGTCTGAACAGTATTAAAATAAGAACAAGGTGAGATATCCCTAGATATTGACAGTGGAACGAGAACAATCTATCGCCGTAGATTAAATAAATGGTTCAGTTACAAATTTCCTGAAGTTGAACATTATCTAATAGTTGTTTAAGCTTTCTTTCTGAGACTGCAATCATGGCTAAAGGGTACAGTCCAGAGGGTGAAAGAAGAGATGTATTCAAGTTTTTTTTTCCCCTAAGAGTCATCTGTGCGAAAGTAAACGCAACTGGCTACGCTAAAATTTGAACTCGGCTTTGAAGAGGCTTAGATAGATAGATAGATAGATAGATAGATAGATAGATAGATAGATAGATGAAGAGAGTGAGATAGATGATAAAGATAGATCATGAAGAGATTGAGATACATAGATGATGAAAATAGATAGATAGATAGATAGATAGATAGATAGATAGATAGATAGATAGATAGATAATCGGGAAGAGAATGAGATAGATACATAGATAGATAATCATGAAGAGAATGAGATAGATAGATAGATAGATAGATAGATAGATAGATAGATAGATAGATAGATGAAGAGAGTGAGATAGATGATAAAGATAGATCATGAAGAGATTGAGATACATAAATGATGAAAATAGATAGATAATCGTGAAGAGAATGAGATAGATAGATAGATAGATCATGAAGAGATTGAGATAGATAGATAGATAGATAGATAGATAGATAGATAGATAGATAGATAGATAGATAGATAGATAGATAGATAGATCATGAAGTGAAGGAGATAGATAGATAGATAGATAGATAGATAGATAGATAGATAGATAGATAGATAATAAAGATAGACCACGAAAAGAGTGAGATACATAGATGATGAAAATAGATAGATAGATAATCATGAAGAGAATGAGAGAGATACATAGATAGATAATCATGAAGAGAATGATAGATAGATAGATAGATAGATAGATAGATAGATAGATAGATAGATAGATTAACCTGGATGTAAATTACGCTATTTAGTAAAATACAAGAGTCCAAACCAGACAAAAGTCGCGAGATGTCATCAGATGATTGCATTTTATACGTAATATAACACCCCAGCGCCCCCACCCCCAAAAATATACCATCCATCCTTATTATTCTTGCATGTTAGCGTAAGACATATAATACATTTTTGCAATAGATGTCAAACACACGCCCTTTTTTCTCATAGACGCAACAGAAAGTGTTAGGAATTTCATTCTAGCAAAAGGATTTTCATCATCACCAATTTCCTTTCTCGTATTTGATAGAACGTCATCAACTGTTTCGAATTGCTGTCAATAAACAAGTCACGTGATTTGCTCCCATATCAACCACGAAGGAATGTTGGGAAAAATAACAAACATAATAATAATAAAAGAAGAGTGATACTTGTATAAAAACAAAAAGAAAACAAATATTTTATTGCCGTTTGGAATCAGGAAAATATTTGATGACTATGGTGAACTTTTATTTTCTTATAAACCTTGCTTTTCGATAAATATTTCTCATAGAATATGCCCAACTGGATCTACATTACTGTGCAGTTAACAAATTAAAAAAGAAAAAAACAAGATTAAGACTTGAGCTGTTGTATCTTAGAAATGATTAAAGTTATATTACTGGAATTCTTCGAGGTTTTTATAACACTATTGGATTCTTCTTTGAGTAATAAGAATGTATAATTACTCCCCAAAGTTAATGAAAGAATAGTGATGAAATAGATCATAAACGAATGACATGTTCATCATTAATTAATCATAGCTAAGGATCGGAATCTTATGAAGGACTAAAATTAAGTTTCAAATTAAACTAAAATTTTTCTTCTAGTTAAGAAAGATATTCAAAGTTCTCCTCTAAATATCCTAAATATAGATATTTGCTTCATTAGTTGCAAAGTAAAATGATGGGAAAAATATGTTGTGGCAATTTTTTTTAAGTAGGAATGACTTGTTTGCGATGAAATTCAGTGTTTGAAAATCTGATTGCCAACGCTAATTACTGATATGACTTAGAAAAAGAAAACCCTTCTCCATCCACTAAGCAATACTTTTTATATTAGATATACTTTATTCTCTTGTATATAATACGACTTGGTATAATATAAGAAATCCTTGTGTATAATATGCCCCCGTCGTACAGCCATTTCAATGTTAATTTATTTGGTAAAAGGTCTATCCTATTATCAATTAAAATTTCAATCTTTACATATATTTGATTAAAATATTTAATTTTTCACGATATTAAAGAATAGAAATGAACCGGATGTTTAGCCATTGTGTGTTTTGTCTAATTTCTGTTTCAAAACTTATTTTCAGGGAAAAGGTACTTACTATTATTTTAAATATTCATACATTTCCTAAGAGTATTTGCATGTAAATGAATATAATGAATACAACATTGTTACTTGGCTCCCTGATTAAAAATTTCCAGCCATTATGCATTGCACCACCAGCACATCCAAGCTTACAACATCTGAGGTACTGACCAGATTGATTAACTTCAGTGACTATATGGGAACTGGTGTACTAATATGACATGGCGTAAGCCTAATAAGTATAATAAGTATTTTCTTGTGTATAATTTGACTGGAGAATAATATGACCCCGTGTTTCCAAAGGTAAAAAAAATGAGAATAAATTGCTTCCTTGAGTATAATACGAACCCTATTACAGCCATCCCAATATAAATATTTTTGAAAAACTATATTATCCACAATATATATATATATATATATTTATCCATTAAAATCTTAATTTTGTACATATATTTCACTAAAATATTTAATTTTTCACAATATTAAAGAATAGAATGAACCGGATGTTTAGCCATTGTGTGTTTCTTCGCCTCATTTCCGTTTCAAACTTACTTTTAAAATTTTTTTGGAAAGGTGCTTTGTAACATTAATGTTATCAAAATATGACTGTTTTTATATATTCTCTTTATTTATTACAATGCCTCATCTCAGAAATATAGATATATGTTAAAATATTTCATTTTTCATAATATTAAAGAATAGAATGAACCGGATGTTTAGCCATTGTTTGTTCCTTCTAATTTCCGTTTCAAACTTACTTTCAAATTTTCAGAGAAAAGTGCTTTGTTGTAACATTAATGTTATCTAAATATGACATGTTTTGTGCATTCCTTTTATTCAAATTTAAAAGCATTTCTAATCTGTAAATGCAAATTTTACATGATTTACAGTTATTTTCAGCTTCTTTTTCTTTCTCAACCGAAATTGTCATTTGTAGGATTTAAGCAGCAAAATTAATGCGTATCATAAGCAATTACTAAATATTAATTGATTCCTTCATTTATGTATTTTCTATCGCCTGTCAACCCTTTGCAGTTTATTTAAAAGCCAGGAAATATTTTTAGATTGTAAGATTTTTTTAAGATAATAATGATTTAGTGATACAAGTTTTACTAACCCATAGCGAGAGGGAGAAAGGTGGATTCGTACCTTTCCTTAGAGTATTTGCGTGTAGATGCATATAATGAACACAACATAGGAACGTAGCTCTCCGATTAAAAATTTCCAGCCATTATCCATTAAACCAGCTGCATATCCAAGCTTACAGCACCTGGCATTCCCACGTAGTCACCCATCTAGGTACTGACCAGGTTCGATGTTGCTTAACTTCAGTGATTTTATGGGAAGTAGTGTTTCAACGTGACATACCCATAAGCCTATTGTGTATTAGATACTGTGTATAATTTGACTTGAGTATAACAGGACCCCGTGTTTCCAAAGCTAAAAAATGAAAATAAATTACATCCTTGAATATAATGTAAGCTAGTCGAACAACCAACTTCAAGTTAATTTATTTGTTAAAAGGTGTATCATATTATAAATTAAAATTTCAATCTTGTACATTTATTTTACTAAAATATTTAATTTTTCACAATATTAAAGAATAGAATGAACCGGATGTTTAGCCATTGTTTGTTTCTTCTAATTTCCGTTTCAAAACTTATTTTCGAATTTTTGATGAAAAGTGTTTTGTTGTAACATTAATGTTATCAAAATATGACAGTTTTTATGTATTGCCTTTATTTATTACAACACCTCATATCAGAAATATTGATATGTTTTAAAATACTTAATTTTTCACGATATTAAAGTATAGAATTGAACCGGATGTTTAGCCATTGTGTGTTTCTTCTCTTAATTTCCTTTTATAAAATTATTGTCAAATTTTCTTTGAATTTAACACGCGGAGGCGACAGGCTGTTTCATGCTAGACGCAATCTTCAGGCGGCGAGTGTTGGGTTATTTCTGTTTATATACACGGGTCAGTGGTGCATTTTGTGTAGTCCATTCTGGCGGTTATTTTGACGGGAGTGCTTTATTTATTTGGCTTAAATTATTTTACTTCTCTTTTACTTATTTTTATTTTTAATTTTATATATTTATTTATTCTTTTCGGTTTTCGATGTTTTATTAACTTAGTAAACAAATGAGATTTGTTTAGGTCGTTTATTTAATAGTTTGTTTTGGTCTGGAAAAATAAAGCTATTTTTTCGTCCCATTTTTGGAATGATTGCTGTAGTCTATTCTATTATTTTGGTGGTGGGGAGGCAGTTTGTTAATTTGTTTATTATTTTATTTATTTGGATTGATTATTGTTACTTGTTTTTGCTTATTTATTTTTATTTTTATTTGTTCTAACGGTTATTTTAGCGGGTGCGATTTGTTAATTTGTTTATTTATTTGGATTAATTTATTTTACTTGTCATTTTCTTATTTATTCATTTTTTTTTATTTTGTATATTTTTATTTGCTCTTTTCGGTTTTCGATTAATATATAAATTTAGATATATATTTTCTGAGAAAATGTGCATTCTTCGACAGGAATCGAACCTGTATCCCATACGAAAACCGTTATTTGGCCTGATGAGATGTTAACCATCGAACCACGAATAACTTTCCGGTTGGTAGGCTCCAAATCACTGCTTATAAGCACACATCTTCGACTGTCTTTCTTGATAATTCATTTCAGTTCCGAAATGTAACCTAAATGGAAACAATGACAACGTATTAGATAACATGGAATAAATCCGCCAAATATTTTAATATAAATATATTAATATAATTGTCAGATTATGTACATATATATATATATATATATATATATATATATATATATATATATATATATATATATATATATATATATATATATATATATATATATATATATATATATATATATATGTTTTATTTTCTATACTTTAGCAGTGTTAATTAAATTTACTTGATTTCGCATATGAGAAACCTAACAAAAATTGCATTCCCCGACACGGTTCGAACTTGCGCCCTTTTTCTTGGGGAGAACCACCATATCATCCGGTATGTTTTAAACTGTACGGCCACACAATGCTTGAAACTGCATGCGCCATTTCTTATTGCTTTGAACGTTATTTTTGGTGGAAAATGAAAATGATTATATTAATAAGAAAAATATAAGTAAAACTCTCTCTCTCTCTCTCTCTTTACACTCTTTTATTTATAAATATATATATGAAATATATATATATATATATATATATATATATATATATATATATATATATAAGCAAGTTATATAAATTTTGATTTTTTTATGTTTAAATATTGGAGAGGCCAGTTCTTTTTGTATAGATACAATATTGTCTTGAAAAGGTTTAAACCGAAATACTTTATCTAACTAAAAGAACGTTTGTTTTTCAAAATTTCTTCATAAAAAATATATATAATAAATAAATTGTCCCTGGACTTGTCCATTTTAGCTTAATATATATATATATATATATATATATATATATAATTATATATAAGAATATGATCAATGTGATCAGTTGATATGTTTGATTAATTTGAATAATGAGAGGGAACCTAACGTAGTACAATGGTCTATTGTGACTCTTTGTTTTGCTTTGTGCTCAACCAAGATAACTACTTCGATAACATCGGTGAAAACTAGTATATGAGTAAAGTAAATTGAAACGGACAATTTCTCTGAAAAAAAAAGATGCTCCTTTCCAAAGGCTTAGGCCATGTACACAAAATTTCCTTAATCATATCTTCCTTGTTTTGTATTGTTGTTTTTTTTTTCTCGCTATCAAACAGTTCGGCATGTGTACAACTACCTCATAAACGTCTCTACTCATAAATACCTGCTGACATTTAAATAGTCATTAATAAAGAAACATATTCATAGAAACACCCACATAAGGACAAACTTGAACATTCATGAACAAACTAAAAAGCTAACAAAATATGGCCTTTGACATTGTCGTCTCAATGTCCATAAAACGAACAAATATCGGTCTTTCTTCTATCAGCCGTGTCATCTTTATCAACCCATTTCCCTATTCATACTCGCAATCCCTTGAAATTTTATTTGTCCCACTTGACATCACTTCAAAATAATCCTCGTTGCAACCAGATGGAAAAAGAACGCATAAATTGTATTCAACTAGCAGTAGAATTGTTTGCAATGCTTCATTAGAAATCACTTACAGTGAGTTGATTGGCCTTTTCATACTTGCTGTTCCGAACAAATAATAGCCATGTCAACGAGTTGGGCCATATGGCGGGAAACAACAAAAAGGCGGGAAGTGATCAGAAAACGCCATTGTGTCGAGACCTTAGGTTTTTCTATCAAGTATCTTGGGACCTTGGCAGGTACGGGTATTTATTCCTGCTCGTTTCTTGCCTGGTATTATAAAAACAGATAACAACGGAAGACACGATTTATCAGACGATATTTATAATAATAATAATAATAGTAATAATAATATTATTATTATTATTATTATTATTATTATTATTATTATTATTAACAGTAGTATTTATCATTAATTATGTAAATTGAATTTTTAATCCAGTATGGTGATTCTTTAAGCACAGCTTAGATGTGGCACAAGGCCAAAGTATGTGAGGATCGAACTCACTATTCAGTTATATTTGTTCTAGCGAGAAAAGCATGTTAACCAATACAACCCGTCGAGGGATCTTTATTCCAGTATGAGTTGGTTGCTTTGAGCTGGAGATCAAGTGAAAAAAGTATCATTCACTACCCATTTCACAGTTAAGGATTCTAAACGCTTTATTATCGTCCTTACCGTTTCTGGTCTTCATTCGATCCCAATTTCTTACAACTGAGTTGTGTATCTTTTAAGGACAGGCAAATATAAATAACGGATATCGGCGCGGGAAAAATAGAATCGGCATGCCGTGTTCAAGCCGGATCAAGTTTGTTCCGTTCACTTTGGCTCTAATAATTAGTTAAACTATTTACATTCGGATTATTGTCCTCATCTTATCAACGTTTCGGCCGTTGATCTAACTTTATCAGGTGTATATCGATCCTGACAACCTACAGAGAATTCTGACCTGAATCCTTTATTCAATCTACGGGGCTATACTTTTCTCGTTCCATTGCCCTTGTCTAGGAATATCTCTAGTTCTTATTTAAGGGGTTCGGTTTGAAATTACAACGTGTATCGCATGAAGAAGGCCGGCGCGTACAACGGCCGAAACATGGTGAATATGACAATAAAGATGAAGACAACTGTCCGAACAAGGTAAATAGTGTAAATAACAAACTAGATTACCTATTAACGTGTATATTTTTATATTCGTGGCATGAAGGACTTAATCTATAGTAATATGAAAGAAGATATATATATATTCCCAGTTATCCAGCCTCTACGCTCTTCTCTGACCGTGCCAATTCAGCTTGCTCGGACATGTACATCGTATGCCGGAGGAGATGATTCCGAAGCTCTTTCTGTATAAGGTACTGGCCACCAGCACGAGGGCGCCCTCACTTTCGATTCAAGAATGTCCGCAAAAGAGACATGAAGGCGATAGACATGGACATCCAGAGGTGGGAATATGTCGCCAACGATCGATCACGCTGGAGACGCGGCTTACACCGAAAGCTGGAGCAAGGAGAGGAAAAACCGACGCTTCCTGCCGGAGAGAAACGTGCTCGACGGAAAGAAACCAGGCGTCTTTAGATGCATTCGTTCCAATCGAGACTCTCATCCCCGTGTGGGCCTGTACAAACATAAAAGATGCTTCACCGCCATCAACAGCTATAGGTGCAAACCCAAGGTTCCCCAAGACCGGTGGATGTCACACACATGAATGAAAGAAGACTAGCTAGAAAGGATTCTTTCTGGCAGATGTGTCTGTATTAAAATAGTTATCAGTTGAGAAATTGACAACATTCTGCTCACTGGTTAAATTTCCTAATTTTACGTATATCAATAGGTGTGATTATTATTATTATTAATATTATTATTATTAAACTGAATGCGTAATAGAAAGTTATTTTTATCTTTTTAACACATTGACTGCCAGAGGCTGATTATGAAAGCTGATTTCAAACGCCAACTCGATAATAACCTATTTAAGCAAATAATTCTTTTTAAGAGTTGAAGTTTTGTTTTCATACTCAAAGTAGCAGTGAATGTGTTATAAAAAAAAAAAGGAAATCTTTACAAGGATATGGCACATAGAAAGAAAGAAATAAGCTTGAATACGAGGGTAGGATAGGAAATATAGACCGTGGAGTCGATTTCAAATAACGATAATGTTTGTTGCGTTTACTTTAACATTAATACCATTCGAAAAGGTACATATCTGTCTCATCACTCCCCTCCTGGCTATGGGTTAATT